TCTTTCTAATGTACTGTATGTATCAAAACAAACATGGTATTGAGCATAATGCTGAAGGAATTGCCAGCGAAAGTACTTCATCAAAAAGGCAGGCAAAAATGAGCCAGTCTGATACTGACTAACTTGCTCTTCCTTCCAGATGGCACAAGATGCACTATGATCTTTTCAAATCTAATTGAAAGGATATACTATAATACATAACTCTAAAGAAAATGAAGTCAATTTCTTCACAAATTAAACTAAAGGAAAGACAATATTTCAATAATTTCCCTGTTTCTAAATGAGCAAAACAGATGATTGTTAGTATGTAGATCCTTTGTGTCAAATCCAGTGAGCCATTTTTTAATCTAACAGTTTCACAACATGCAGTGATGCCAATTTGTTACCTGCAAATTTGTAGCCCATCCAGGAAAAAGCTGAGGAAGAAAAGAGTTTTATGTAAGCAGCTGCTCACCTATATGGGCTCCACTGTTGTGACCAGCACATTCAACTTCCTCTGGATGAAGTGTAAAAGCACACAGAACGAAAGCCAAGAAATAAAGCAGAATAGTTAGAAGCCCAGCCATAAATGCAAAAGAAGAGTTACTTTAAAATGACAACCGTATAAAGCTTAGCATGAAAAGCCTTCAATATATCATTGCTTGAAAATAAATTGGTATATTGTTCTACAGTTGAGCAAGAGATTCTGGAACACAGCAACATGCATGCTTTGTGTCTTTACGGCCTTTCAATGACAGAAATTAAAGGCATTCTATTTAGATTTGATGGAAGATAAAAATGCAGTAGCTGAAGCACAGAGATAAAAATATTTACAAAGAATATCAAAGAGGTTTCATGTTTGGCTCAATGGATCAGACAGAAAGGGTTTCTGACGAACATATAGCCCGTTTGCTCAATCCCAAACATCTTCATGCTGATCTTAATATGCCAGAGCTCCCTTGACAAAGCAAGTTATAGTTTTCTAATTATGATAAACAGTTGATTTGGTGAACTCAATGGCCTGCAGTGGTTATAAGTATTCTGCAAATGACAGCAGCATAACAGTTTACAAAGGAAAGAAGGGGAAATAGATTGATTTTACTGTATGCTGAGAAAATAGGTTCTAAAATTATGTCACTGAAATCTGCGATGGAAAAAACTTTAAAAAAAAAATGAAGTAGAATATTTCGGAATCATGCAATCGCGCTGACTCTATCTTTGGTCCCACTGAAATGTTTGGAATGAACACACCTGTTTATTATCTTATGTTTATTTAGTAACATTCAAATAAATTACCACAAATTTAGCCAAAGCCTGCAAATTCAATCCATATACCAAGGCATGTTTCTGCAGGCAGATCTTTTCTTTCCAGAGCACTGTTATGTGGGAAGAGAAATACGGAGGGAATAACAAATAGAAAAGGCACATCGGGTAATGGGTAATACCCAGAGAAACCCACGCTTTTACCCCAGTTATCCTCATGCATGCATGTTACTTTGCACATGAGCAACTTGTTCACAGCCTTCTTAGCACATGACAATTCAGATTTGGAACTGTACTACAATAGCTGAATGACTAGTTTGTATCACTAAATGTGCTGTTACTAGCAGTACTTAATTTTCTAATTGCTTCTACAATAGAGATGATTTAATTAATCTAGCTTTCAAGCGATCTCTACCACCGAGCAGGGAAACTTACATGGGTACCTTCAATTTTCTCTGAAAAGCAAAAAGGGGGGAAAAGTAGGAGGCCAAAAGATTACACAGACTGAGAACACAGTGGAAGAATTAAAAATTGAAAACTCAGGAGAAAGACACCTACCACACTCAACTGTCTCCTCAGCTTAGAAGAGCCAAAAAACAAACAAGCAGACACAGTTTATTTAAAGTAATATATTCAGCAAATAATAAAAAAACTAGAAAAGAAAACATATAACTGAGTAGCATTGAGAATACATTAAGAATATAATTTGAAGTAGCTTTCACTGGAAAGGAGGTTTCAAAGTTTGCTCTTGTTAATTAATGTAACATGTGTTGTGGGACAGCCAGTACTAGAGAAATGCTAACCTCCTGCTAAATTTGCCAGAACCTGTCTTCTCTCATTAACAAAGAATTCAGCTGAGACAGAAGCAAAAATGAGGGCAGCTAATTTTTGGGTGGAAATGGTTGCTTGTTTAGTTTAGCTACGGTGTTGAACTATCAAGAGTCTTACATAGATAATATTCGGAGGGTGTGGTGCCTTCAATTACATAATTGTGTGATCAGTTCATTACCTAACTGCCCCTTTTATTAGCTGGAATTCAAATAACATGTTCAAACATCTCAGGGCCAGTCCTACAAACAGTTCTCAACAGTGACCTGAGCCATACAATTATATTAATATGAACTTTTAACTTGGTACCTGTTTCTCTGAAAGAGATTTATCATTTCCATATTTACAACTGTCAGTTGATTGTCAACTGATATTTGGCATTAATGTATCTATCGCTGTAAGTTGGAGGTAATTTTGTTAGAATGAATACCCAAAAAGAATACCCAAAGGGAGAAAAAAATGAAATGGAAAAAAGAATGTGGCTAAATAAATATCCAATGCATTACTTAAATAGACATTGGTACAAAATTAACCATTTATTTTTAAAATAAGAATGTCTTCCAATGGATGACATCAGATAATGCTATAGGTATAACAAAGAACATTTCTAATCCAATATAGAGTGCTTCAGAATTTCCTACATATGTACCATTTGGAAGATATAGGTGATGCATGACTTTTTCCCAATAAAGTTTAGGAAAAGCCACAGTGTCTTCTAATCTATAATATACTTTATTACCCAGTAACAATCCACAAGGTTCATAAATCAATCCAGAGCATGTGCACACAAAACATTAAAAACAGATCTTTCAGACTGTAGTATAACTTTAGGATCTAGACAACAAAGTCTAAAAATCTCTAGAGACATTGTTCTTAGTGACAATACATAAAATGTTTTCAAAATATAAACAAACTTTATAATTATCCCACAAAAACAATCCATGCAAGAAAATATCAAAGGGAAAATACTAGTTTTTTTAAAAGGAGAATGTTTATGAAAAAATATTGAAATTCAACAATCAAGCAATGCATGGTGCTAATTAAATGGAAGGAAAAAAGTGTCAGGCCAAAACCATTTTGCTATAATGGTAATCATGAGAGGACCATCTCATTCAAAGGCAGGAGGAAAACACTGTCTTTGAGATAAGAGGGAGAATGTATTTTACTAATTGACAAGAAGACAGAAACCTTTATAAAAAGTGAGATCACTTTTATTAAAGGGAATGAATTAGCAGACTGTAAAATTTAACAGAAGTATTGTTATCAGTTATAACTTTATAGCTTTGCCAGCATATAAATTTGGTTGCACTCTACTTATTCAGATTTAATAAAATACATTACTTCTTGCTTGGATATCACCTTGTGAATTTAACTTCCACTCATGAAGTGAGGTTCGGCAAAACCATGAAATGTTTTTATTTCTTTAAAGGGCACATGAAATAGCCACTACAAAAAAGAAAGGATCACTGTGCTGAATGACTGTAAGAATGATACATCCTAGTCCTCAGGAGAAATCACCCAATGGATAACATGCAACCGAGACACCACATATTTACATACATGAATCTAGATACTAGGTGCTACTGTATGAAACATACAGAGTTGGCCATCTGCTAACTGGCTTTATGATGCCTTACAAGACTCAGGAACTATTTTCTGCCTGATTGTGCCTTCCACAAATTTGTGATTAGCCAATTCCTGGGCTTGGTTACTCTGTTACCTTGTCTGAAATCAGCCCCATTTACTTCTTCAAATCCAGGATTTTAATAAAACATCAGTAATAGCTGGGCAAATGCTAGAGGTCTGACTGTTTGATATGCTGATATCATCACTGCTCTTTCCTGGCATAGCACATATATTAATGGAAGTTTTTATTTATTTATTCCTTATTCTGATAATGTGGAGAATATAGAATTAAATATCCACTGATCTCAAAATGTTTATTTATTCATTTATAGAATCTGTTTTATGCACAGCATTTTCAGTTTCGTCAAATCACCCATCTCTTATGTTTTCTATTACAGTTCCACCTCTAATTTTCTTATATCCCGTCATCATACTTGGATGCTGACAGAATGAAAACTGGTGAGGTATTGAGTGTGATGCTGAGATAGATAAGGAGAATGAGAACATAACAAACCGAAGGTTATTTCAGACCTTGAATGTTTTCACGATACAGAAAAAAACTTCAGGAAACAGTATGCTTAGCTCACTGAAGTATTTCTATGGATTCCAGCATGGAAAAGAAGAATAGTGGGAAGGTGGGCAAAAAATATCTTTTCTTTCTTTCTTCCTAGCGTTTTTCCCACATGTGCAGGGTCTTTTTTTTTTCTTTTCCAGATCAATCGAATGTTGATCCATTGGTTGCGACATACTGAGAGAAAGTGACTGGCCCAAAGTCACCCAGCCGGGACTAGAACTCAGAGTCTCCTGCTTTCTAGCCTGGAGCCTTAACCAGTAGACCATACTGGCTCTCTGGCCACGAAACATCATTTATTTATTTAATTATAATGTTCTTACTAACACATGTCACTAAAATGGAAAACTCTAGGTGTGATAAATATTTTTATCATAACATAGTACTTAAAATAATGCATATTTGCAATTTAGGTAGTGATTACATTACAGATGTTTATGTTTGGAACTGAAACTAATTAACCTGGCATTTTTTTTAAAAAAGTGATCCATTAACAGAACTGTTTAAATGTTTAAAAAAACAGTCCATTTACTACATCTGCTTTATTATTTTATTATTTTCTTTACCACAGTGAAAGCATGTATTTTAAGGCCTGATTTCAGCAGCAAAACAGCATTTTTTCTTACACCAGTAGAGCAGTTTGGGCCTAAAAAATGAGTAGCATCATATCTTTATTGTATGAATGTAAGTAATTTGTAAATGCAAAAAGCAAGCTGTGCAGTAACACACTTACATGATTTCTTATTTGAAATCTTCAAGGGCCGAACCTGTACATCTGACCTTCTTAATGCAAGTCTCCTATAAAGTAATGTGAGGAGGGGAAGGAAAACAAGACATAAGCTATTTCATTTTTATTGCTGTTTTGGTATCAGTAAATATGAATCCGTTTTTTAAAAAAATCACCCAGAATTTTAAAATACATTATAATAAACAATGCAGTTTATTTAAACTCTCCTAAAATAAATTCTGGAGCCTTTCTCTTTTTAAGGAAGTGGGAACATTTTCTAAACACATCAGCAAATCTTATTCTAAGATGGTACACTGATAGAGATACTGATATACTATTTTCCATCTGTTTTTTTCCTCACAAATAAGATCATCAATATTCTATCAGGTTTTGTCATTATCAATAGAAGCAGTTGAATAATAACATCCAAACAATTTAAACCAGTGTGTTTCAACCTTGGCAACTTTAAGATGTGTGGATTTCAACTCCCAGAATTCCCCAGCCAGCATGAAAAATATCAATTTAAACTATAACTTACCAAGTTCAGGCTTTGTATGGCATTTGAGTGCAGGTCTAATGATCATACTGATCACTTTTTTAAGCATTGGGGAGTGAGGATGGGAAATCAACTCAGTAACAACATACCTTTCCTGGAAGTGCTTGGAAGGAATTAAGCCTGCTCTGGGATTGGCATCACCTTCCAGCTTGGCTTGCCACCAGGTTGCATCATCTTGGCTCATGATTTGAAGAATATCACCTTTCCTGAAAGGAAGTCCAGCTTCTTTACAGGGAATTGCTTTATCTTCCCTGGGATTATACTCAAAAAGAGCTTTCATGAAGATCTGCAAAAAGAATGCATTGTTTTACACTGAATGTCTTAATGAAATCTCCAGGAATCCTCTTGTTGTTATTGGCATAAATATGCTTACCTATCATGATAAAAGTATCTACATATGGAGGCAGAATGCTGAATTGAACTGGCATTTAAGCCCCAGTAAGCAAATAAGTAAATAAATAAATAAATTTCAGTTAACCATCCCATGAAGAACCTTAGTTGAATCCAACAAGTGCTTACCTTGCCTTCTTTCGATGGGACTTCTTCTTTGATACTGGGTATAATCTTAAATGTAATGGCTCCTTGGGACATAGACTAAAAGATGTAAATATAAATTACTAAATTATGTAATATTTTTCAAAGAAAGCAAGAGAGACGGCAGAATAAATTGAATTTGAAGCTGATTCCAGTCCAGTTCCTATGCTTTAATAGCAAACCAATTATGATCTATTGTGCATACATTACAAACACCTCTTATGTTTTCTATCACAGGGAATTATGTAATGTATGTATGTATGTAATATAATGTAACTTGTTTATTATTTAGAAGATGATAGCTGTTTATCAGATATACACCATAATTACAGTATAACAGTTTTAAAGAAAATTATTTGTCAAATTATAGCTTTTTAAAGTTGAGAATTGGCTGTATTTGCAAACGTGGAGATGATTTTAGAATTATCTAAGATTGACATCACCATCACCATTATTATTATTATTATTCCTCTTCTCCTTTTGGTGGAATGTGAATTTATGCACTATTGAGGCCAACTCAAAAGTATTTCCATTAGTTTGATAGTAACAGTCCTATTTTTTTCCTTTAAAAATATGTTATATGTTCTATAACAAACAATTCTAAAAACCAAAGGAATTAAACAAAAATTACAATATGCAGGAAACAAGTTATGCAAGCAATACTAAACAAAGATCCTTGAATCCTCCTTTATCTCATTAAGTACTTCTTGCTTCCTTGGATCTTAAGTCTGCATTGAATTAGAAGTAATTATTACCAAGAGTGTGCAACTTCTCCAAAGGCCAATAACAGATATTATATCCTTTCAAGTATGATCTGACCCAATTTTTTGTACTGTGGAGAGCAGAATTTTATTTAGGGAACAACATTGGAAGCAGACTTCTTCTATGTTAGTACTTTCTAGGTTGGTCTAAATGTATCTACACAATGTTTTATGCAAGTAAAAAAGAATATACATTTATTAGCTTTGGAGTCTTCTTAACCAAAAAGGAACTTAGTTGCTTCACTTTTTTACAGAGACCGCTTTAGATTCTGAAATTTCTGAAACGTCTTCTCTTTATAAATATCTACTAGACAATAGCAGCTCAAGTAAACAATTAAAAAATGTCAATATTTAAAAATTAGTCTTCCACATTTTTCAATTAAATATTCTATTTTCAACCTACCAGAATTTGTATAATTTCTTCTGGTTTTTTATCATCCACAGGAATTCCATTGACTTCCTTAAGCTCATCACCTACATGAATGAGACCTACGAAACATAGTTATGTAACTGTCAAATAATTCTTACATTAAATGAACCACTGCAACCTGAACATTTTTTCAAGTCATGCTATTTCCAACTAAACTTTAGTTTCATTTCTTCACAAGTCTAGTTATGCACTGATGATTTATATATGTGTGTGCACATGTGCTCATGTGTGTCTATATCCACAAGGGATTACATCCAACATCAAGCTGATGGACCTCCCTAACCACTTCATCATCTGGCAGCCCCTAAAATTTCCTGAACTGGTTTTCTTAAGGGCTGGGAGGCAATCATGAAAGTGATGGCCTTTGGCCCAGAGTTGAAAAAGGAGGAAGCTCCAGAATTTGTTAGATGTACCTTCACAAGCAGAAACTTCACTGATTAATGGAATGACGTTAGATAGAAGCAAAGATAGTGAAACTCTTTTTCAATAAACATTCTCCAATATATCTATTATTTTGGTAAGTTTAAAAAAACCCTCTTTGTTATCAAGCAGCATCTCTAACTACATATATTAGCTCTAAATGAAACGTGATATATTCCTGTAAACAGGCAGGAGTACCTCGATGCTTAGATATGGAAACTGATTTGCCAAACTAACGTAGTGTCACAATATGAAGAAAATGACAACATCCTTTCCCTCCTTTTTTATAGTACTGCATGCATAATATACACAATATCACATTAGTGCATCTGCTCCAGTAATCCAATACCGATAAAAGGTGAGTTACGCTCAATGCTATATTAAAACACAGCAACATCTAAGTAATTGCTTTTGCTCGATTTAACATCTAAAATTTTAGCATTTAAATTTTGTCATCAATACCTGCAATTGCAATATAAAAGTTCTTACCACTTCGGTCTGCCGCTCCTCCACGCATTATGCGAGCCACAACAACAGCTCCTGTATGTTCATCCCTTTTAATAGTAGCCCCCTTTAAAAATAAATTCAAAAATGATTATAAAATTAATGTTGAACCATACCAATTTTCTAGGTGCCATTTTTTTTTGTAATTTGGAGAAGTTTGCACACTCCAATTCTGATCTTTACTAATGAAGGATTTCCTGCATTTATTGGATGTTAAAAACTCTGAGAGATATCTGGCTGCAATACTGATGATGAAACCTTAAACTTTATAGGAATGAAACAGGGCTGTTTTTAGTGTTATCTAAAAGAGCGTTCCGTATCTCCTGCTTTATCTGCCCTTAAAAGTGTAACCCATTTAACAACAAAGTTAACTGCTGATTGGGCCAAGAAGTCTTGGAGAAACGTGAAGCATTTTCACAAGCAAAACTAAGTGACTTTGAAAAGAATTCTGTACTGCAGCACCACCCTGGAAAAGGAAGAATTCAGTGTTTAAAAAGTGGCACATTAGTATATTTGTTTGTACAATCGTAAAACACAACTAAAGAGCCAGGAAAAAAAATAGATTCAGCAGCAACTTTTCAATGATCTTTGAGACCACCTAAAGCTGTAAGGTAAGTATTCTGGCTTAAGTTACTATTGTTTGTGAAAGTGACCAGCTTGCACTTGGAATTGCTCGATGCAGTTTTTAGAGATGAGTTGCTTTAACTATCCTGCTGCAGGCCTCTTTCCAGTCTTCGATAGCAGCAGTCATGCCTCAGAGTTTCATCTCTCCACCTGTTCTGTGCTGCCAGTTACAAACAGAGAGAGCTTTTGATAGTGAACCAAGGTATGTATTGCAATTGTAAATCTTTCACCAGAATAACAGGCCCAAGAGTTTATTTTTGCAAAAGAGTCCAGAGAGACAAACCTCATGTTCAGAAGATCCAACAATAGTCCCATTTCCAGTCCAACAGTCTAGGCCATCCAAGAACAGCATACAGGTTACAGGTAGGAAATTAGAATACTGTATGCCACAAAGAGGCAGTCACCAGTGCCATCTCTTTTATATGGTCCTGACTACCAGCTTGTCTGTTTGGCTGACTCATGCTTCTTCCTTTAAGCAGATGGCTTGACTTTCTTTTTTCTTCCTTTTGTAATTTGTGGTCTGTTGTTAGGTTTGAGACCTAGCCTAACTGAGGCTTTTGTGTCAGCTGAATTCCTTCAGCACCCACGTCTCCTCAAGTGCCTCTTCTACCAGCGCACTCACTTCAGTCTGTGGTTCAAACTGAGACTCAAACTCTTCAGCCTTGGAATCTGAAGACAGATTGATCTCTAACATGGCCTCCCCTACCTCCAATATGTTTTGTCAATATGAAGCCTGGTGCTAAACTAATAGCAGTCCTCCTATCTGGAAGCTATGGTAGTTCAGAAAAAGAGGATATTTAGAAGAGTTGGAAATGTTGCTCGATTGCCAATGCTGCTTGTTATTTAATATTATACTTACAAGTCATTTTTTAAAAAAATAGATATATATTCAAGTTGGGATTATTATTATTATTTTAAATCCTAAAACTTACCAGAGGTTCTCTATTTTTTACGAGCCTGATGATCTTCACAGAATCTTCTTCGTTATCAATATCGTCAGGCATGGGAGGCAATACAGGATCATAGCTTTTCTGAGCAACAGTATCATGCACAGAAAGCAAAGCCTGCAAAAATCGGGTTAAAAACAACTGTCAACTAAAAAAGATAAAAGACGTATCTGCATTGGCAGTTTACCAATACTACTGCAGATCTTGATACAGTTTGCATCTCATCAGCAATGATTTGGCACTGAACGTCCTTCACAGCTTAGGAACAGTACTTTTTTCCAGGATAAAATCAAAGAAGCTGCATTCTGCATTGTTGAAAGGATACGTTTGTTCAATTTAACAAAACTGCAGTACAAGCACAAACTTCTAAGACATCGGTGAAGAGAAACTACAGAAAAAAGGTCTCACGCAAGCAGCAAACTGGATTCTTTTTGTTCACGAAAAGAAAGAGAACACTTAATGGCTATGTGTATTTTAGAGATCTTGTCTTTACAGGATTGTTATATTTCCAGATTCACCATCTAAAAGCTATTATTTGCATGAATAGCGCTAGAAATAATTTTTTTAGAACATTAAAGCTAGTATGATTCAAATTCTTGTACTACCTACATATAAGTATTGACATTCATGTGGATTTGTATACATGATCAAACTGGAATACTGAAAACCCTGTGCCACGCCTAGTTGATGTAGGACAAAGCACGGACCAATTCTCATCTCAATGTGTAAGAAAAGGATTAAAATCTATTCTTAAACTGAATTCAGAACTTGAGAAAACTGCAATCATCACATAAACTTCATTCCAACAATATTACTATACTATTAAGATAACCAAGATATGAATATTTATCAGGTCTTCCTAACTATTCTCTCTTTTTTCCAAACAAGATATATATTATTGAAGGTCAACAATATCCATATGACATAATATGTTTATCATTTTAAAATAATGACTGCTAGTGAAACGATGCTATTTGAAATAACATTACAGTGGTTTTCCCTTACCATGGCAGTAGTTTTATTTTTGCATGTAACAAAAAGACAATTTCCTGCACTGAAAATACAGTTTTAAACATTTAACATCAACTATTCTGCACCAGTGAATTGGCCTGCAGCTGTTACTGATACGGATACAGTAAATATGAAGTTAGAAGCTTTTTTCCTTCTTTAAACTGCTGTTTCCTCTTCTTTGGGACTATTAATCTCAGGAGACACTTCGGTCTGCCTACATATTCTTAAATACCCACTCAAAGTTGCAGCTACTTCATACCATCTGGTTAAAGTATTCATATTCTTCCCGGTGGCACCTCTTTTTCCTCCCTCCCTAATTCAATCTATACTTTCAGAAGGGTTTTAAACATTATTTAATCAGATCCATTTGTTTAAAACAGTAAAGTCTCCTGATGATTCATTAGCATGATACAAAGGTAGCTGCCACGGTTTTTTCAGCTTTCCAGTCTAGCTTACGGTCCTGTTAATCCCTGAAAGTCTCCCATCCAAGTACTAACCAGGCCCGGTCCCGCCAGCTTCTGAGCCCACACAAGGTCATTAGTAAGTCTTCTGAATAAAACAATTAAATTAGGGGGTCTATAAAACCCTAGAACTGTAGGGTAAGCACGACAGAAGATATTGCTGTAACAACTCCTTGTTAATCAATTTCTAAAGTTGTAAAAAATGCTTTCAAATGGTAGAGGGGAAAACAGATTCTGAAAAGCAGAAGCAAATTTGAAATGGATGCTTGTTTTAGGCACCTAATGGGAACACAGAACCGAAAAGGGAAAAGTGGGCAGAAAGCAAGCTGCTGTGCTCCCTTGTGCCTCTTCCTTTTTTCGGGGTGTGTGTGTCCCCAATTGCAGGAGGTCAGCAGCATTCCATGAGCTGGGAGAGGTGGAGGGAGAAGGAACAGCAGCAGCTGCAGCCATTGCTCAGCAAGCGGACAGACCTATGCAGAGAAGACCCCCAGCAAAGACAAGCCCAGAGAGGGGAAAGGAAAAAGAGCTGAAGGGCTAGTGAGCAGAGTGACACAGAAATAAATAGCAAAAAGATACAGTCGGGGTGGCAGCAACTGGGAAAACTAGGGCTTGGATAGTTGCCCCTGCCCCCAATGGAAAACACGCCTGACAAGAATAGCTGACAAATGGGTTATGGCCACCATAACACCAGTGATGCGATAACAGGCTCCAGGAACAGCACAAAAGTAGATGGTGAAAGGCAGAAAGCCTGGAACTCCAGAGGCCAAGCACTGGCAAGGGGGAGAACGGGACAGGAGGGCGTCCTGTGACAGTCACGGCCACCAGGTCAAGGAAGTTAAATCTCTGGTGGCAACCACAGCTACAGCAGGGAGCGAGGGAGACCAACCACCACTTTCTACTCAATACCCAGACTAGTGAGGCCACACAACTATGTGAAAGATTGGGGTGGAAAGGACTAGGAGAATTAGCACAAAGGGAGTTAAATGGGAACATAGACATGGGTGGTTTAAATAGATAAATACAGTAGGAAAAAATATTAGAGTGTCTTTTTATTCAGAACAGAGAATCATAGTAAGCGGATAGACTATAGAATGGTAAATAAAACAGAATTGAGTAGACAGTAAAGGATAACACAGGAAGAATAATTCCTGGGAATAAAACAAAACAAAGAAAAGACAAACTCTGTATTATAGGGAAATATTATTTTGAAGTGTGTGTGTGTGTGTGTGTGTGTGTGTGTCCGCGCATGTAAAATGAAATTCTTTTTGAAGGAATTTGTTCAGCCTTGGTGTATTTGGCCATACACACCAACGTGGAGGCTAGGTTATTCAGTTAGAAACTTTTAAAGAAAAAGGTTGATAATATATCTTCTTTCGCATAATATACAGTAGTCCAGCATACCCATATTATGTTCAAATTTATTTCATTTAATCATTACATTAAATGGGAGCACAGTTGTAACCAGGAACATAGCAAATTTGCACAGATATCAAACCACACTGCTGAGTCAGGGAAAAGGACAAGATAGCCCCCAAGTAGAAAGGACTTTCACTGCTTCACAAAAATAACTCTAAATTCCTTTTTCACTTTTATATATTACTTTAAGGAATTGAGCTGTTTTGGTTTTCTTTCCTGAGCAATTTCAAATAGGCTACTTGATTCATTTTTCAGCTTTTTGCTATTCTCAAAATTTAAGACTTGTTGCTTGATTTATCTGCACTGATTTTCAAATTTACTTACAGCAATCTGACTGCCAGCTATTTAACAAGTGTGACATTAGAAGTCTATGCTTTTCCTGAAGCAAAAAAAAAAAAAAATCATATACCAAATGGAAACAGATTAGAACATTTCACTCTAGCAAACAGAGCACTTTCTCTTTTCTAAAAGATAAAATTAATTCAGTGCACTGCTAATCAAAGGAGGCAGCAATTCTCCAGTTATTATTAACACTGATGCAAGAAAGCACGATGCATGCTGGGTCTTCTACATTACAGCTTTCTACATGCCAATTTTCCTTTGGATACATACCAACCCCATTTTCATTCTAATGATCCAAAGGATTCATCTAAATGCTATGCTTTTGGTCTATTTACATGAATGGATTGCATTTAGGAAACATATTGTTTCTACTGTTTTTCACAACTTGTATTTGCATCCACTTACTTTGGAAGCAATTTTCTCTATTTCAGCAGAAACTGCAAAAAAGCCAATTAGCTAAGAATCCCAGAAAATAGGTCACTCTAAACTAGGCATAACCATCACCACCACATGATGGGGCTCAGCAAGGAAGAATTCACCAGATAAATTTGAAAAGGACAAAAGTAAATTCTTTTTCAAGTTGAACTTGATTCGTGATCACTTCATGGACATATCCATATCATTGCAAGAAGATATCTTTAATTTGCAATTTTTGGAATGTATTTTCTGGGTAAATAAATCATACAGAAACTAAAATCACACTTCATCTGGCTGGCTTATCAAGCAGCCAAATAATATCTTGCTGGATGAATTCACAAATTATATTAAGCTGCATTTTTAAAGGTATTTTTAAATTTTAAAGTTCAACAAGCAGGAATTATATTCATACATAATGCTAAGCCATAAACTATTATTTATGAACCTCATGCCTGGGTTCATACTATCACACTACACCAAAACCAAATTAATTCCATTATAACAAAATGAAATGTAAATTATTTCTAGAAGTTAAAGAGTATTATAAGTGTGCAATATCAGCCAAATATACCTGTATTTCTTTGCTGTATTTCATAACAAATCTTTTGAAAGGGTGATTCAGTTTACCTTAGAGTTTATCTCATTCATACATGCAAAATAGCTACTTAATTCATCCCCACAATCCCTCAGATGCAACCTGCAGCATTAATCTCTATAAACTGTAAAAAGAGCTTCAGAAATGACACCTCCAGGTTACATAAGCATGTGGCCCTCACAGGAATACAGATAGTCCTTGCTTAGAGACTACTCATTTAGCAACTGTTCAAAGTTATGACAGTCTGAACAAGAAGACTTACAACCGGTCCTCGAAGTTATGGCTGTTGCAGCATCCCCATGGTCACATGATTGTGATTCGGGCACTTGGCAACTGGAGCACAATTACGACGGTCGCAGCATCCCTTGGTCACATGATTGCCATTTGCGACCTTCACTACCAGCTTCCGACAAGCAAAGTCAAAGGGGAAGCTGGCAGGAAGCCGCAAGTCACGGTCACGTGACGCTGTGCTTAACAACCATGTGTGATTCATTTAACATCCACCACCGGAACTACTGTCATAAGTCGGTGCAGTCATGTGATTTTTCACTTTATGACTGTGTCGCTTAGTGATGGAGTTGCTGGTCCCAATTACAGTCATTAACTAAGGACTACCTGTATATGAAACTATATCAGAAAAATTGATTTGCTGCTACATTAAAATGTTTGTTAATCCCTTTCAGGTTGCAATTGGAAAGGAAATATCCTTAAAAGTAAATTCACAAATTATGCTAGAGTTTAACAGACTGATATCTTTAATCACTATAGACGTATTGAAGAAAAGAACTTGGCTGTTTTCCCATTTGTTCTTTTCTTGTGTACGTTACAGTGAAACATTTAAAAAGAGAGTCTGCCTTAGAGTATTATATGCATCATGTATTTTGCCTTCTAAGTTGTAATATTAGCTCCATACAACTTGTAATGCTCTTTCAATTTCTCTTTCAAGAGTACCACAATATTTTGTCAGCATTCCTTGCAGAAGTGAATAGGACACAAAATAATAAGAAACTGGGGTGAGACATGATGCATTTTATGGTAGCATAGTAAAACCTCAATTTAGCAGATCAACTGGGGTAAAGCGTTTAAATCCAAATGTCTATTAAATCTAAATGTACATAAAATTACTGGAATTTATATTACTGGACACTTTACCTGAGCTTACTGAATAGCAGTTCTGAGGTAGCTAAAGGATTGTCACATAAAAAATTGGATTGGTTACCTTGTTGTCTTGGAGGACAGAACGAGTGGTTGAAATACAGGGAAGTGAATTCAAGTTAGACATGAGGAGGAATTTCCTGTCAGGAAGACCTGTCATCTAGTACAATAGTTTGCCTTATTATTATGACTGGTTGCACAGCCAGATGTTTAGACTGGATTTGGCATTTTTATCCACCTATCGAGTCCTTCCCAAGGACCTGGGATAGGCAGATTTATTTATTTAGCATATGGCATACAATGCCAGGCAGTCTACGATGTTTTGTACACATGGTAGATGTTCTGGCGCCAGCAATTGCTAGTTCTTTATTGCACTGGTGCACCACAAGAGGGCGAGCTAGCTTTGCACCAACTGGCCAGCAGTGTTCCTAGGGAAGTTGGCTCATCCGGGGCTTTTTCTTTCTTCACCAGTCCTTTCGCCGATCGCGTCCAGGCAGATCCAGAGCGGTTCCTGCTCCCCGCACTGCCAGTGTTTCCCCCCGCCAAAATGGGGGTACCTATTTATCTACTCGCAGTTGGTATGCTTTTGAACTGCTAGGTGGGCAGGAGCTAGCGATGAAATGACGGGAGCTCACTTCTGTCACGCGGAGCTGGGCTTGAACTGTTTGAGTATCAACCATTTCTGGCCGGCAAACTCCAGCGTCATAAAGCCACTGCACCACCGCATCCCCACGATTGTCAGATGTTATTGTTTGATGGTGTTAAAGGTATCGTTGCAGGATATAAACTGTTCCAAGTAAAGCTGTCTTATGATTATGATTATGATTATTATGGTTGGTTGTACAGTCAGCCAGATGTTTAGACTGGATTTGGTATTTTATCCATCTATTATTATTAATAATAATGTTACCTGACTCCCAGCAACATGAAGTGATATGTTCCTCTTAATAGTATAGAAGACATAATTAGTTAAACATGCAATTTGCTACTTGACATGTTTTGTTTAGAAACAGATGTACCATACTTAGTTAATCAAATAAATGTATCAGCATGATAATAAGCAAAATACCTCTATGCTTTGTATACTTATTGATATAGGGATAGATACATAGGTAGAAAGATTAAAGTATTATTCTAGTTTTGTAATTCCTTTAACAAATGGTAGGACTTAATTGCATCACTTAATTAAGCATGACAGAGGGTTCTGGGGCCTCATTACTTGATCTGTGTGAAAAACTCCAAGGAAACTAGGCATTTCAAGGACAATTGCATGGCCTGTGCATCCTTATCACATCTATTCCTTAACGAAGTATAAAAATATATACCAAAGAACCTCTTTTTAGTGTCTTCACTCTTAGGATTTAGTAGCTCATCAGAAAATTGTTATCTCACCTTTGTAACCAAGCAACAGCCTACATCATTGCTTAATACTATTACTGTGCATGTCATGTAATCTATGTGTGTGTGTAACATATGTACTCATGTTAACCTGACTCTGAGGCTCCTTGCTGCAAGGCATAGAGTCTAGGTGACTCACTGGATTGAATAAAATGATTGTTGGGATTCTCTCCAGTTGTTTTGGTAAATTCTTTGGATGTGTTTTCCAACACAGTAAGATCTTTACATAGAGGCTGGATGGCCATTTGTCCAAACTGCTTTAGCAGAACCTACAAAGAACAAGGGCTTGAACTTGACGATCTCTGAGATCCTGTCCAAAGTTGATTGTCATGATTCTAAGAATGTAGCGAGATTTGGCTTAACAGCAATAAAATTGAGACAGTCTTTGGTACAGAGAATTTAGAAGGTAATGAAATGAAATTTTAGTTATAAATTTTTATAATATTTATGTTTTTAATACTTCACTCTTTTTTAATCTCTCTGCATGGCATAAGATATAAAATCTACCATTAAGGTACAACCAAATAATGCACCATATGAGAGAAAGTTTCTTAAGCTACTTCAGCACTTTTTCTAGCAATTTTGCATATCCACCTGGACACAAGACTGTTCACAGAAATGTCCGTGTACTTTGAAAACTCCCAGAATGAGGAGTGAGCAATTCTGCAGCTTAACAGGTGCAAGCAACACACCCTTACCTTGAGGTTGGGTTTGGACAGGAGCTTCAACAGCTCTCTGATCTCATTGTTTAGTGGTTTACTCTGCAGCTCCTCAGCCAGCTGTGAAGGAGATTAAAACAACACAAAAAACATTAGCAAACACATTGTTTTACTCAGTGTATAAGTAACAACCAAAAATCAATCTTGTTCAAATTTACTACTTTCCAGTAGTTTTAGCATGAAGAAAAACAGATAATCAATCATTACTCTTAATTTTCTGTCCCTTGCACTAAATTCTGGGCAAGTCTTTCAACTGAATTTGACTTAAGCAATCTTTTCTGGCAACGGCACCCAAATCACATTCTGATTTATAGCAACAAGGGCAAATCCCAGGACATTCATCTAAGTGAATGGTCCTTTGCATGTAAACAAAGCGCTGCTTGTAAAAAATGACTGGATCAAACTTTGACACTGTCTATATAAACTAGCTTCTGAATGAAGAGGTGAAATCTACACTGCTTCCAAAATACCACAGTAGCTTTTTTGTTTAGAGCTGGAATACAGAAGCAGGGTGCTTCTGTGTGCTACTACTCCAAATTTTATTATGTTTACATACAAGAAGCAAATGTCTTGTTAAATGTCAGACAAGTTTATCACAGAAACATGGCTAGAGTCAAGTTACCAGATATTCAAGCATTCTACAGTCTTTAAAAATGAACTCAACTATAGTCAGACTATAATCCAAAACAGCGATTTATAAAATGTTACAAGAGGATCTAACTTCATATAGCGATAACTGCACTCTCCTTATAAAACAACACACTTGCTATAACAAGAATTTTTTTTTTGCAAATTCATAATCACAGGAACTAGATATTCTGGAATCATCCAATCCAGTGAGTATGAATCTGTAAAAAGAAAAAGAAAAAAGAAAAAAGTTACTTCCCTCCCCCGACTTCTATTTACAAATACCTAAATAAAAATGTATGAAAGTATCAATCTACAATAAAAATACAGCACTGCACCAAGGACTGCCATTAAGTGTGCAACACTATACCTATTTTTCCTTTAAATCAGTTTAATTTTTCTTGCAGCACCTCATGTTCTGTCATAGTTTACACAACTATGTATACAATCAGTAAACACAGGGTTGGATTTGATTAACAAAAATTAGAGTAACAAGAAATTAAATAATCAGTGGCATATAGCATAATTTCATTTTTAATTATGAAAGCAATTAGAAAAACTTGATGCATGCTTCATTTCTTTAGTTATTATCAGTCATTTCTCTTATTCTCTCAGTATATTAGCTATTTCGTCTATGTGTGTTTTGGGGAAACAATACTCTTCTCACTTAACATACTAAATGGCAACAACTTTTCTTTCAACGTAGGTGCCTACAATTTATCTTGGTTACCAAGGCAGAACAAGAACCAGTCTAAATGCCATGTTTTTAGAATGATTAAACACTTAATAAAATTCAAAGCAAGGTTATCAATCTTATGGTGACAGGTCTTTGGAAAGTGGTTCCTATCCAATTCAGATGGCCTCATTCATACACTAATTCTGTCTTCTGCTTTCAGACTTTAAAAACTGTAGCGTCAATGGATTCTTCATGTATACTTACATCATCCGCCAAGGCTGAGGCACCGTGCAACATGGGCACGGGGCTCTGTTTTTCATAGTGATACAATTTCTCATGAATCTAGGAGATAAGGGTATAAAACAGTTTACTTAGCAGCAGAAATATCTTCTGGAAATATACACTGGCTAGTTAAACAACTGCAAATAAAGAAAAAAACCACCGCCTTACCGAAGCATTTAGTATGAACATGTAGATATAATTCATCATCACATTCTGGTGAAGTGATGAAATTATGAAATCAAATGGAAAAAAAATTAACCATGTAGACCAGTGTTTCTCAGCCTTGGCAGCTTTCAGATATGTGGACCAACTCCCAGAATTCCCCAGCCAGCAAGGCTGGCTGGGGGATT